TTTCGCTATGGGGAGTCGGCTCCCCGCGCAGCCCTCAGTGTGACGGATTATGGCGATGAACGTGAGAAGTCCCTGCGGGCTGTTCGGTGGGTTGGCGCCCCACCGGCACAGTCAACTGAGGAAGGCCTCTGATTCATGTAAGGCACTCTCGAAGCTGCCAGGTAATGTTGTCCGACTCGAAGTTAATGTTAATGTTAATGTTCTGTGGAATTTAAGTCCGATTATTTAGCAGGCCATGGCAGATAGTAAATTGCTTCACTCTTCAGATAACTCCGCACCACTTGAGGGTTATGCAGGCGAACGCTATCGTCCATAAATATCGCCTCAATGTCCATTGCAACCATAAAAGGACACACAAGAGGCTGTAGAATTTCGTCGCGATATTGGACGACTATGACGGAATCATGTAGAGGTCAGTGAGGCCGTTCATTCCTATTCCATACGATACAAGTAAGCATCCTCCTCTGTAATGTTCTCTTTCGACGATGTTTGGCGCCCAATAGCGTGTCCTTGACTCTCGCCATAATATTGCTGTTTGGGAATCGTTTTATATATTAAATCGAGACTCATCTGTAAAGAGTATGTGGCCCCACTGCTCTAGTGTCCAACTGAAATGTTCACGGGCCCAAATCAACCGCGCTATGACATGCGATGGGGGACAAAGAATTGCAACTACAGGTCCTCTACAGTCCACTTTCACGCAGTTTGGCGGGATATAGACTGTCCTGCAGTAGCAGAGATGCGACGCCAGCTGTCTTGGTGTTAGCGATCTACGGCGTCTTGCGCATAAAAAATAGGAAGCGATCGTCTGCCGTTGTGGTAATCCTCCGGAATCCAAACGCACGTCTTCTACAGGGGTTTGATCCCTTTGGTAACGATTCCACAGCCTATTTAATAACACTACGATGCACATTTAGCTCTCTCGCAACAGCGGATTGTCTTGCACCAGTTTGCAACATCCCGACAGCCCCCCAACGCATTTCATTGTGCAGATGGTTTCTTCGCTCATGCTTTTTGCTTTGGTTGTCTTGGATTACACGGAACTATTCGCTACTTGCGAACTGACGCATAAAGTCCAGCATGCCCCTTTTTTAAGACATTAGAGTCTGACTCCGGGATTATGTTTTATGCTAATTCTGGTTGCCTAATTACATTCGGCTACGCAACCTGTACCTAAGTTATGCAAGTTGCATGCTTTAATTCCTATTTTTACATTCGCGTATTTTCTTTCAGAGTTCGCTGCTTATTTTTTGAGCATAAGCTTATGTCTGCGATGAAAATTGCCGCCTTGGGCGGATCCTCCGCCTCCCTCTATCTACGCCAACACATATATTTGATGCGGTATTATTTTTTGACTGCATCGAAAACACAGAAGAAATTATGAAAATGAATGAAAATAAGAGATAATATAAGATACAATAACATAGCGAACAAATATTAATTCAGAAGTCAAACAACAAAAATCAGCGTTATATTTTCAAAATTTCACAGGAACCATCATCCTCAGCTGCAAAAACGCAAATGGAGCTGAGGATGATGGTTCGGTTAAACCATCGAAACTAGTCCTGTGAAATTTTGAAAATATAACGCTGATTTTTGTTGTTTGACTTCTGAATTAATAAGAGATAAATATGTTAGGAAAACAGCAGAATTCTGCTATTGAGAGATCAAAAACCCCTTCCAATATAAAATCATTTAAAAACCACTGAATTAGAGAAAATTCCCCATTATAAGAACATCAGGTAAATAATGATTGAGGAAAATCATTGTATTAATCAAAGAAAAAGGCGTAAAAAAGATGAAGATCGTTCAGTTTTCAGACACTTAAGTGCAATTCACAAGCAAATTATCGCAGTAATCATAATCAATAATTGCAATAATTATCAATATGTCAGTGGTGGGGAAGAAACGTGCAATTACACTGAATCCTTATTTTACGAATTGAATCCGTTCCTGAAAGCCGTTCATCAACCGAAATGTTCGTAAATCGAAACAATTTTCTCCATAAGTATTAATACAAAATAGATTAATTCGTTCCGATGACTGCTTATTTATATTTTGCAACAGCCCTTTATGCACAAATTACCAATGAAAATAACCCCCAAACCAATGAAAATCAATAAATATAAAACAAAAATGTACTCTTCTATTATCAGGACCGGATTCAGAACTGTATGTATGTATGTTTTCATCTATGCATGTATATATGTAAACTATGAAAAAAAAGAAAAAAGAAAGGAAAAGGGGAAAACGCGTTCATACTGGGTCGATTGACCAAATTCAACTTGCGTTTTTCATGTCTCGAAAGCGTGACTTAGAATATGTATTAGATTTATATATAGCATTGTTCAAATATAGGTATTTCGACACGAAATAGCACTTTTTCTGATATAACATACCAATTGTTTTCCATATTTCAATTCTACGACTCAAATTACGCCAAACTACCAAGTTCTGTAAAAATCGTACAAGTCGTTTTTAAAAAATGAGCTCTCAAAATTTTAGCTCCTCTATATTAACCCTTCCCTGCACGCTACCTTTTAGAGTTGGAATTTCGATTTAAAAAAAAAAAAAAAGTAAGCAGTCTAATTAGGTCTAGAGGAGTACACAAGTAAAATTTTGTGAAGATAGTATTTATCGTTTTAATTCTGTGGGTGTGCCCGAACCGGGCACACATTGAATAGAGCTCGAAAAGAGTGCTGAAACAAGCATTGTTGGGAAGCGCGTCAAAGAGTAAGAGTTTTTGCCTGCGATCAAGAAATACTAAATTCTGAATACCGTAGTAGATTTAGCATTACCCAGGTGTGCCACGGGGAGACCTGCTACTCTACAACCCCCCTAAAAATCTCTCCTTTTTTTTTTTTTTTTGGTTATATGATGATTATATGCGTATGAATGGAAAAAATTTAACTTGGATATATGATATTTACCTAGTTTACATTTCATATTTACACTTTAGTCTATTTTTTCATGGTGGTACTTTTCGAAGAAAGTGACACCACCTGTGAAAAAGCACACCCAATATTGCATTTTTTGCACATGTACCAGGATCCGCATCAGATTCACTACCTGAAAACTATTCGTGTAGCACTTTCAGTGCTTGAGAAAGGGTCAGCCCTCTCCGATCTGTTTGTTTAAAATTATCCTTGACCTTCAGAAAATCACCCCAACAATTTGTGAGTTGATAACCAAACGTCCCCCCCCCCAAAAAAAAGAAGGAGAGCGAGAAAAGAAAAAGGAGAAAAACAGGAAATGAAACACAGATGTGGACCCACCTTTCTGTTGTCAATGAACTGACCGATGAGATGCGGAGAAACAAAGAATACAGTTTCTCAGTTGTCCTAGCTTCTCAATGAGCCCGGTCTGGGAACACCTGAGGTTCGCCGTTCAATTTTAAGCAAGATTTCAAGGTAAAAATTTAAAACTAATACAAAATAAGGAGATTAGTATATAGCCAAAAAAATAACATAGAAATTACTTTTCAAACAATTCCTTTTATACCCTAAAAAAATCTGGAAAATTTCTTTGAAAAACGAGGGTCTTAAAAAACTAATCATGGCGCTAAAATGTATGGGCAGCTTTGTGATCAGCTGCCATCTACTTTAAATAAAGAAGGTTCACCTATAGTAACCTATAGTAACCTATAACCTATAGTAACCAATAAATCCTTTTTCATTAAATTTTTCTGTGCGTATAGAAGAAAATTTTTAGGTGTGCTCAAATCGGGCACGCCGTGCCGCAGAAGATTAATTGAGTTTGGTATATATTTATTAATCTCTCTTTTTTATTAAACTTATATGATTCTTCCTTTCACATTTCGAAATTCAGGTTCATTCCAAATAAAATTAACCTATTTTTATGATTTATTTTAAATAATTTTTATAACTTTTCGAAAAATATTTTGTTTTCTAAGCTATAAAATTTTCACCATCATCTTAAAGTAGACGTATTTCTAAGCATACCTGCAAAAAATTATAGTTTTTTATTCAAAATTTCCTAAGATATACGTGTTTACATATCGTTGCGTTGTGAAATTTGGCATATTTGTTATAAGCGATAATAACGCCAAAAGTGGTTTACGTATTTTGTTAAAATTATTTGAAAGTATGAACGATGACTTTCTTCCGTTGCCTGCAATGAAAAAAGAAAAGGAAAATAGGATGCTGTAAATTAAAGAGTTATAGCCAAGTGCCGTTCTTGGCGTTTTTCAGTTTGCGAAGAGAATAATTTGCGTCAAGAAAAGTTTTGAATTTCTCCGTAAATTTCACACCAAATTTTACAAAATTTAATATTTAGGCATAATTTGAGTCGTAGAATCGAAATATGGAAAAGAATTGGCATGCCGTTTCAGAAAAAGTCCGATTTTGTGTCAAAATACTTATATTAGAACAATGCTATATATAAGTCTAATATATATCCTAATATATATCCTTTCGAGATAGGAAAAACGCAATTTGAATTTCATCAATTGGCCCAGTAGAAGGGAGATATAGAACTGTCCCGCCCTTTTTTTGCGCAGAGTATGTACTAATGTATGTGTGTCTATACTCTTACACATATATGCACATACTTACATACACACATACGAGTACATTTCGGAATTCAGTCCCGAAACAGATTAGTATCAACAAAAATAAATAAATAAATAAATAAAAATAAAAATAAAAAAAATAAACATATTATTAAACTCTTAAAATAGGCAAAAATTTTAATTAATTTTACTGTATTGTAATAAAGGGCAACGCATGAAAACGAGTGTTTTTAATTTCTCTGACAAAACAGGAAAATTACTTAATTTTTTTTATAATAAATAGTTTAATAATCTGATTAATGATAATTTTTTGATTAGAAGAAAGTTAAAACATTTTCCGTTTTTCATAGTTGCATCATACTGTCATCGAACCCTTCGCGAATTAAATATCTGAAAATTATGTGACTATCTGTAAATTAAATCGTTATACTTCATTAAGATAATTTTCTGAAACATTTCAAACACTTACCCATCATTTTCATCTGGATATTCTAATTAGTAACTTATTTTCAAATTATTAGGTAAAAAACTGCAGATTCATAACAATTGGCAAAATGAAAAAATTTAGTGACAACAAAATATAATATGAATAAAAGTTGCCACAGCGAATCTACAAAAAAAAAAAGATGATTTTATCTCATGCGGTTTGAAGCCATTGTGTGTTCGTGGTCTAAATACAGTTTTTATATTTCCAAAATTAAGAAAGAAAATTCCTTGAAATTATTCTTATTTTATAATTTCCTTTTGTGCTGAAGATCCCAACTTAGAATATCTAGAAGAGTTTGCATACGAAGAAAAACACGGCAATATAAAATTTGAAATTAAGCAATTTTGTTTTAAAGTAGCTTTTTTATCTAATTTTAAATAGTTATTTATATTACATACTTTGTATCCTGCAATGAGATACATTCCGATAACATCAGAGGTCACGTGACTTATGCGTAGCTATTTTAAACAAACAATGCAGATGACTTCTGAGATCACATGACTTATGTATAGCTAATGTAAACAACAAGGTCATTCTGCCTCTTCTTCTCTTGCGGAATGTATTTCATTTAGCCTCAATTATTAGATAGCTTAAGCTATTATCGGGTTTGCGAATGAAACGTCATAATTACCATCGCTCACAAATTCTATGAAAATAATTTGGATTATTGTACCGAGTTTGGTTTCTGGAGAAACACAAATACACTGGTGTGCAAAAATTAAGGACGAAGTCGAAAAATTAGCATATCAGCTGAACGAAGAGGCAGAGCGGACGGAAAGACCAATCAGGAGATTAAGTAAGGTGATGTACGGTAACACATGCGCAGATATGCAGGTAGACGTAATGGGAGAGTGTCTGAGTAGTATAAAGCATGTTGTCGGTGTAAGATCAGTATTTCTGGCAAAGAGATTGCACGCCGTATAGCAGTTAAAATCACACCGAGTTGCTGCCTCAGCGAGAAATGGCGAATAATCAATCTGTTAGACGACATCTGGATGCTTTTACCAGAGGTCGAATCATTGGGAAGTTGGAGGAAAGTCGCAGTGTGACAAGTGTGGCTGCAGAGTTCGGAATTGCTCACAGCATCGTTTCACGACTTTGGAGACAATTTCAAACTACAGGAACAGTTATCCGGGGGTTTAGTAGTGGTCGTCCACGAGGAACACACCCGCAGATGACCGGTATATTGCCTTACAGGCTAGAAGAAACAGGCAGCAGACAGCGGGAGAAATCGCTTGACACACGACACAGGCGACTGGACGACCGATATCGCGTTTTGCCGTGGCCAGAAGACTGCACGGTGGTGGTCTGTTTGCACGACGCCCTGTACGGTGTGTACCTCTAACGCCTGCCCATCGGAGAAGGCGTTCTCTGTGGTGCCGGGAACACCGGAATTGGAGAGACAATGAATGGGGACGAGTACTCTTTACAGATGAGAGCAGATTCCGTCTGACTAGCGATTCTCATCACATATTCATCTGGAGAGAGCGGGGAAGTCGCAATCATCCCTCGAACATCATTGAAAGGGACAGGTATGGAGGTGGCGGTGTTCTCGTTTGGGAAGGCATCATGCTTGGTAGTCGTACAGACCTTCACATCTTCGACGCAGGTTCAGTCAACGGGACCCGTTATTGTAACGAGATTCTTCTTCCATATGTGCGTCTTTTTAGAGGCGCTATGGGTCCGCAGTTCCTTTTCATGGACGACAATGCACCATGTCATCGCACAGTAGCTGCCGAACAGCTCTTAGAGAGTGAGGATATTGAACGTATGTATTGGCCGGCACGATCTCCGGATCTCAATCCCATCGAGCATGTATGGGATTTTCTAGGCAGACGCTTGGCAGCTCGTATCTTACCACCAGTAACGATTCCGGAGCTTCGATTGGCGCTGCAAGACGAATGGGCAGCAATGCCTCAACAACTCATTGACACCCTCATTCTCAACATGGGCAGACGCTGTGAAACCTGCCTAGCAGTCAGGGGAGATCATATCCCCTATTAAAGACCAGATGTTTCTTGCTGGACACCCATCACAGGGATGTTTCGGCCTTCGGTCGCATTGCGCTCCATGCTACTTTTTCAATAAAGCTTCTTTTTATCCCTCTGATTTCTCTTTTAGTAAGTGTTGCTTACATTACTCATGTCCTTACGTATTGGGGATCTTACGGTATTAAATGTGTTGATTTGGAAAGCTTTTGTACAAAGTTATATTGAAAAAACTGTCTCGTCCTTAATTTTTGCACACCAGTGTACTATACGCTTAGTTCATTAAATAGTGGAAGCCAGATTGCATGGTTCTTTTTGATTCAGGTCATCTGATCGATAGCCATTTTGATTAAGCATGCTGAAAAACAAACACAAATTTAGTAAGAGAGATGGCAAAGTCTCTGAAGTAAAGTAAAATAATAACAATACTACTACTAATAATAAAATATTTGTGGTTTTGAAAATAGCTTACATCTATTATCCCAAAGAGGAACTCTATTTTTTTAATTTAAAAAGAATGAAAAAAATCCTGCAAATATGTCTTTTCTGCCCTTAAATAAAATTGAAATCGGTACTCTGCATTACCCGGTCAACATTCTAATCATTCGTGACTAATCTTTTGCTACCCTAATACGTGCAAAACAGTAGCCATTTGAAAATGTTTATGTAAAAATTGCATAAAACAGCAATAAATTAATGAAATTTTAATCACAAGAATTGTCCAAAACGAACAGTAAAAATTACATAAACATCTATAAGGAAAAAATTTAACACTCAAAATTTCGTAAATGTGTAACAAAGTAAGTAATTGAAAACACAATAAAATTCCATAGTAAAACGCTTAACTTTCAATTTTCTTTGTCTTCTGTCTGCTGCAGAGCAAATTCTCACTGCTGTCCCTGTGCGCATTTTTAAAATAAAAAGTATCAGAGAACTGTACTACTTAACTCTATGGAATGCGCATTTCTGCTGTCTCTAATAATAGGCATCTCTAATAATAAACGTTTTCCTTTTTATTAGAAGACAAATTCCACAGTGGCATTATCATTCGTTGCACGAAAACGTTCCACACACTGCCACACACAGACGATATAGTGGTTAGCCCTTTGGTACCGCCTACTGCGGTACCGAAGGGCCCGTGTTCGAATTCCGGAGAAGACATGGGTGTTTTTAAATATATAGTGTTTTGCGGCAGGAAGGCATTCTAAATATGCAACGAGACGAAAGTCCTCTCGAAAGGTTGGTGATAGAGGAAGAGGGGTGGAAGACCTTCGGACTCGTCCCGCCGGAATGTTCTCCATCAAAATTGGGGGCGGAACTGAACGAAGTCGTACTGGCACCTGTATGGTGCTCAAGGCTCTGACCAATGGCAGGCGCAATCTTGCACTCCTTGCCACGATGAATTTCGTGGGTTTGTTCCGATGTTATTGTCAGACAAGTGAGATAAGTCACACACAACACAATTCCATACACTAATTACAACGAATAGAAACCACAAGCATGACCCTCGAATTTCAAAACAGGGCGAACAATCATTACTTCCGAGACAGATCATGGCTATACCGCAGTCTTCGAGAAACAAAGCTTTTCATCTTTCTCATAATGTCACTATGAAGAGTGCAAAGAAAACCTATCCCATTCGTTGGGAGCGAGAGCAAATGAATTACACGTTAGAGTAAAGTGCGTGTAGGCAATAGTTTGTTGCCAAATAAATACAAGAAGGTTAGAACAGAAGGGCACAGAGTTCGTAGTTTCCTCCGCTGTCTGAAAATCAAACCTACCTAACAAGAGGTGGCCATGCTTGTGAACTCAAAACATTGCTTTATGGCAAGGAAACGCACTTTTTTCTACGATGTTCCATGCATGCATTTTCCAGTAAATATATATGTTAAAATTATAATGAAATTCCCCGATATCGCTAAATTTTTCTTTTAAAATAATAATGTGTATCTATAATTTACAATGTACAGGAAATTATTAAGAAATAGTGCAAAATCTAAATGAATGTGTATTAAATCCTTTAAAATGATGTTTCTGCATATTTCAAGGATTTCTTTAGGTTTTATTAGCTACCTGTTGGGTGTCCTTTCCAATTTTTGCTTTAAAAACAGATACTTCTGATTTAGTACTTTTTCGTTAGAGCGGAGTCAGCTAAAAATTCGCCACTTTTTTTTCAGCCACTTCTTGCCAAGTATTAAATTATAAATTAATAATATAGTTCAAACGAATAAAATAAATTATGTAAAAAGTAATTTTTTTTAATTTCTTAATTCTTAAAAAAAGTAAATTCTTCTTTTTTTTAAATTTTGTATCTTTAAATATTCAAGACATAAATAAAAATATCAAAAAAAAAAAAAAACGAAATAATATCTAAACAGATAGCATAACATTACGAATGTCATTCAATATTGCAGAAAAATCTGAGTTTTTTAATGTAGTCGACGCTACATAAATTCTATTAAATATGATTATAAATGGTGGCGAGTAGTGCCCCGCTGATGTTTATTTCCCCATTTAGTACTACTGCACAATCGCCCCACAGTTTGGCTATAGCATCCAGTTTCGGGGTCTACAGAATTATAGCTGTAATTCATAGTGAAATGTTCGTACCCAGCATTTCTTAGCTCTTCTTGCTTATATCCTTTCCAGCAGTCTGAAAATATAATGCTGCCATCCGCGATTTTTCTTGAATGGCAATCATCAATGTCGTAGTACAACGACCAGGAACGGTGACCAGAAAACATTTTTTGCTTTGCCAGCATAAGCCCCTGAATACCCATTGTTCCGGAAGAATACGACCAACATTGTTTTTCCTTCTTGTAAAAAGACTTTCATTTCTACGATTTTGTTCGCTCCACTAATTTTAATTCTTTTATGAGACATCAAACTATTTGCACATAGCCTCCCTCAAGTAAATATTTTAATCTACTGTCGTGTTATGGCTCATTTCTAATTGAAGTTCGCAAAATTCAGTCGACGTCAATTCATGACACCACAGATAGATGAAACGAACGTCCTTGAGGAAAATAAGATGCGAGAATTCAAACCATGGTCTGGTTCTCAATCCTTTTTTTTTTCTTTTTTCCACAGCAAGAAC